CGTTGGCCGCTGCCCGCCTCAGGGCGGCTGGTCGCTGCGGGCGGGGTGCTCGCCTGCCGCCCGGTCTGGAGCTGGCCTTGGCATCTCCCTCCAACTATCTGTAGAGAGTCATTCCCTTTGGGCGGAGTTGTCCGAGTTGATTTAGATCAGTGTAGTCTCACGGATGACAGCGTGAATGAGGCCTTACCCCAGGGTCAAGCACGGCTCATGGTTTCTGACAGATGCGGTAGTTTGCTCTTACGTGCTTTGCTCCCATGAGGAAGGTTTAGCAGACAACTGCAGGGACCTTGGCCCAAGTGGTGCCCGAAGATGACCCAGTCCCGCAAAAATTTATAAATTTTCATAAATGCATGTCTGTGTGTGATCCTTTACCAATTGTACTGGTGTTGGGCATTTTCTTATTCAGATCTAATCCTCATGCAAAATTATGATGCACATATGTACAGATTTTACAGGTTTTAGTAGAGGATCCTCATATCTGATGGTGGAATTTGGTTTACAAATACAAAAATTTTCTTTAGGTGATGCTGTCCATCACACAGTGAGTAAGGTTAAAACAACAGCAATATTCATCTACACTAAAGCATTTTATAGTATTTGCTATATTTGTAATGGAAAACTGCAAATACTTGTGGCAGATGTAAAGATGCTGACTGGTAAATGCATGTTTTCTAAAGATAATTAAGTTGTAGTGTAAGCTAAAGTAATATAAGTGGCACCAAGTGCTTATTTGTTTATTTATATTTCTTGTTCACTGATCCCAAATGCTGTTCTTGGAACTGTTCAAACAGCTGATCTACATGCAAGTGAGATAAAACAGGCTGCTAGAGCCACAAATGTACATGATCCTGTAGACGTTAATAAAATATACTAATTTAAATACATGTTTCTTAGGCAGGCTTCTTGTAAATCGCAGTTACATTTTGCTTTTTGCCTTTTTTTTTCTGTTCTTCAGTCTCTCTTAGAACCTTGATCCTTCCTAAGAGGTACAAAGCTTTAAACCATATTTAATTAATATGTGAGTCAATGAAAAGACAGCATCTACAGAGAGGACTCCGTGAGTTTATTTTATGACATGCAACTCTGCATATAGTTAAGAGCTTGCGATTACAACTCTCTGTCAAGGGTTGTCTTCTGAGTAGAGTGCCAGGCATACTGTTGTTGCCAACAAGTAAGTGGTAGTAATCACTGTACAGTAGTCCTTTTGGACTCTGCCAGTGCCACTCCTTAATCAGCTGCAGAGCTCTCTCAATGGCCATTTCTTTCCCTTCCTGGATCCTCAGCCTGATGACCACGCAGTGGTGGAAAATACTTAGAAAAAGAAAGTTGCATTGAAAGATAAGGGATAAATAAGAGAAAACGCATTCGTAACTTACCAGAAAAAAATATAATCAATAACCGTACCTCATGCAAGCTTACCTTGGCTTCAGAATTGAAGTTTAATCACACAGCTTAATTCCAGAACTGACGTCTGGACTTTTAGGAACAGCTGAGAAGTATTGCACTCCCCAAACAGTAAGCCTTTGAGACAAGTGATGCAGGAATGGTGTGAGCAGTGAATGCTTCCTGTCTATGAAATGGCTGCAAGGACCATGGTCTGTCACGTTCTCAAATTATGCCCCTTCTCCAACACGTAAGTATCCACCACAGTTTTAGTCACACTGTGTTTGTCATCCTCCTCTCCATCAGTCAGCAGGCTATAGGAACCTGTGTATGTGGAAATGATGAGAAGGATAGCAAGAGCTGCTTGGCTATTGCAGCTCAGATTATCCTGTTCTCCAGTGGTCTTTCTACTAGGGAACATAGGAATTAACCATGCGGAAGCTCTTATATTTGACTTCTCCAGACAAATGAACAACCTTTCTCCCTCACCAAACTGTATTTTGGAAAACAGTAATGCTGCTCTTCGTACTTGAGTGCTATCCTGCAAGGTGAATAGAGTGTTCGGAGTATTATCGTGATATCAGTGCCGGCATGATGCATGTGCCACAGGGCTCCATGCTTCAGGAGGCCTTACATCAAGGCTGGGTTGTTTTTCAGCAATAGCTTATGGTAAACGCTGCATATGTTAAAGTCATTCAAATGTTTATGGAACCTAAAAGCCTTAATTTATTTGCTATATTCAGAATTGAAAATGTCTGAAGACTTATGTGATGGCATCCCATCTGAAGAAAAACCTGAAGTAATGGAAATGCCCAGCAATGAGGTATTGCCTCACGAGTCAGTACCACACCTCGTGGAAGCTGAGCTCTTGCACGAGCCTTCACATGATGAACATGGACAGGCCACTCAGAGTGCCAGTAACGGACAGGACGGAGACATATTTTTTAACGACAACCCTGTGACTGAAAAAATAATTGAAAGTCTGCCTTCCAATGGAGAGGCAACTGAAGACATGCCCACTGAGTGCAATGAGACCGTAAGCCTTGATGCAGAACCTGAATCTGAAGAAACACTGCATGAACAAAGCAGTTCAGTAAGTAATACTTTGTTTTCCATAAAAACCCTCCCCTTCCTGCTTTCTAAAGACAGAATTTTGTACAAGGTACATACTGGTTTTCACAAAAGTCTAGGGAGTTACATCCAGAGAACCTGCATGGGGATAAAATAAGTTAAATTGCAACACCAAGCATTTGGAAACTAGGAACAGTTGAATTTTTCTTTGCCAGTATGATATTCATTTGGTCTTTCTAGCCTGGTTGCAATAAAACTATACCAGAGCCTAAATCTTATTAAGAATCTAGTCCATTTTGTATAGATAAAATACTCCTGTGATTTTGTTTTCTGGCTTTCTCTACAAATCTGCTTCATTCAGTTCACAGAATGAACGTAGAAGAGGACAGAATTGAAGCTGCATATGCAGCACTGAATCTTGTACTTGCTAATTTTCAAGTCATTGACTTTACAAAGTGTATGTTTCACAAGGCTCGGTGAAATGGCCAGTAGTTTTTGATTTGTTCTAGGCCAGTAGTGTTTGATTTGTGTTCCACAGACCTTTGGGAATCCTGTGAGTAATTGCAAGAAGTTAATGAAAGAAAACTAAGAAAAACAAGGCTTTTTTAAGGTCTACACGGCATGCAAATCCAATACATGTGGTGTAGCTGAAGATGTTCTCATCTCCACTGAAAAATTTTCAGGCATCCACAAATTGGAAAAGGTTAAAACACATTGTTTTTGTCCCTCCACCAGTGAGAGGGACCTACCTAGAAGAGGTGACAGGGGATCTGTACACTGCACAGTGCAGAGTTGTCTTGGGATACTTCAGCTTTTGGTTTTGAGTTGATTGTGTAGGGATGATGTGTTACTGAAGACTTTCATGAGAGAACAGTTTCTTAATATGATTTAAATACAGAATACTGATAATCGCTTAATACCACACATTAACGTAAAAGGTGGGCAGCACATCCTCTGGCTGCATTTTTACTGAACTCGGTTGTTAGGAGTTCCCTGTGCGCATCTACTGGGTTAGACCTCTGAGGAGACTCAGGCAGAGAAGTCTCTAATTCTGGCTCCCGGTAGAACTCAGGAAGGAGACGGGTTCCTGCCTCTCCCTAATAATAGCCCTAATAAACTTGTATGGCTTTGTAGGATCAGGTGCCTGAAGAAATATTAGGACACCTGTAAAAACATTTCTGGAGTTTTAGGTGCTTTCAGGAATAGGTGAGGTGAACTAAGCTTCCCATTCTGCTTTCTTGTGCACAGAAGCTTGAACTCCACATAATACCCAACCTAAGCACTGGCCGTAAGCATTTAGGGTCCCATTAAGAATCTGTTGCACTTTTAGGAATGAAAAGACCTTTAAAAATCTGGCTCTGGTGACAAAACTGTGAACATAAAGACAATATAAATCGGTCATTATAATAAAGCTAGAGAAGGGCATGTCTGCCCAGGGATACTTATGTGAAATAAGCTTTAGTTTAGTATGACACCAAATAATTCTCCATATGGATGCTCTTGTTTCACATTGAAGTTGTTCATGTGTTCACTGCACAGATGTGTGCACCGGTATTAGCACCTTCCCAACCAGATGTTACAATTCTTCAGCTAGAAGTTATGCTCTGCAGTACAGCCTGCAGAACCCATTACGGGGCCTTTTAGTCAAAGCCTGCAAGATTAGTTTAACCCACTACAGAAGGCTGTTTGAATTAGCCTATCTGATTTGGTATTGAAACAGCCAAATGATCAGTTTCACAGACACAGAGTGAGGTTGATGATTTTGGTTTCCTCCAGGGGGAAGAAAGGGTGAGGTGAGAACAGTAACAACCCTGCAGTGCCATAAGAATGCTACCTTTCTTTCGAGGACTACTTTGCACAAAAGCTTAAGCATCTGCCAGAGGAGCTGGTGGCAAAGCTTTTGTCAGTCATCATTCTGGGCTATTTTTCTGTATGTTCTGTGTCTTGAAAATCATTCTTCAGAAGGCATCACCGTGATTAGGGAAGCCAAGTATTATATTACAAAGTGCTTATTTTCAGATTGTATACCCTTGTAACTAGTGGCACAACCATTTTTACTCATATCATCATTTATTACATGCTGGACTTTGCTTGACAAGTGTTTCCTCCTGCCTTTGGATAATGTAAATTTTAGACAGTGGAGTAATTTTTTTGTTCTTATAGGCCACAGCCTCCTCATCTAAAGCAAGTAGATGGGGAGCTTGGGGTACCTGGGGGAAGTCTCTCCTGTCGTCAGCTTCTGCCACAGTGGGTAAGTGTTCAATCAATAAAGTACGTGGAAATAAATTGTGATTGTAATGTGTCATTAGACATATTAATGTTGTGTCTTAAAGATTCTTAGACAGTTTTGTCCTGATATGCTTGGCAAGCACGATTTTTTTTAATAGGAAAAAGGACCTTCCTAAACTGTCAAAGCACATAAATATTTGTTCAGGTCAGATTATGGACAAGGTACTAGGCTTGTTTGTAAAGGTAGTGAATTACATCATTGTGGCTTCTGCACAGAAAGGATACATAATCTGATACAATTACTGTCGTGCATGTTTGTGGTTTATACACCATGACTTCTGTCTATACAATATGAATTCACTTCTTGTAAATCATTCCAGCTTTCACTGACACCCAGTGAAACTGTTAAGCTATCACACCAGACTTCAGAGAGTAGAACAACATACTGAAATATGGACCCTGTATTCTCTCTCCCTATACTCTCATTTCTGATAGTATGTCAGTGCAAAATGTCCTTGTGAAGACTTTAGGTAAAACTTCATCATGACATATCAAAAACTCACAGACAAAAAGCAAAGCATGCAAATACCTAGTTATCAGTGGGAAATAATTTCTCACAGAACAGCTACTAAGCTGTTAACTAATTGGTTCTCATAAAGGATCCACAAAACACCTTCAAAAGATGAAACTAGGAATTAAAATTAATTGCTAGTTACTAAAAATAACGGATTCAACAGAAAGATTGGTTTTATGATCCCAAGGAGAAATAATTCTCCTCCTTATCCTTCTCTGTTCCATGGGCAATAAATTATTTCTGTCTGTTTCTCAGAGAAGGAGGGAACTTCCCCTATCCTCTTTTTTTCAGTAACACCCACACTCAAAAGTTCATAACTACCTTTTCTTTCAGACAGTCAAACCAATTAACATATCTAATTAAACTCAGAATGGGTTTCTAAAATGTCTTTAAATTGACATAAGTGAAGGTTGCTGCTGAAAGGAGCAGGCCTGCCCTGCCCCAGCAATATATTTCTTCCTTCTTTTATGCTAACAGTAGCCTTCATGTAGTGATGTGGGGAGCTGGTTTATGGGACTGATTTTGAAAAGTACAAATGAAGTAAGAGCTGGATCTTCAGCTGGATCAGTTTGTAAATTCCCTAATCTGGCTCACCATTTGATCACACGGATGCTACTCAATGGGAAATGATGGGAACACACAGAATATGCCGATGGGGACAACAGCTTAACTAGCTGTGGAACTGCATAAGTGTTCTCAACTTGCATTTAACCTTAAAGTTTAGCGCTTCTCTGTCAGACTTGAAGAAGGGCCTCTGTGCAAAAATTTTGCCCATTTTTTTCCCAACACTATTAGTAGGTCTAATAAAGGGTACTGCTTTCACAGACTTTCACAAGCCTTGCCTCTCTTACATTCTCAGACCATCATAACAGCAGCATTCTGAAAAGAATTTGGCTTAGCATAAATAACTAAAGAAGAAAATTTATGTGCATAAAAGTAATTTTACTGTTGATCAGTTGGAATTGTAATGCTGATGAATTCTTCAGTTCATTTTAATAGTTGCAGCAGCGGGTTTCTTGGAACAGAGCTCTTTCAGGTCATTCAGTTTTTGCCTGTGAGATAGCCGTATTTATATTCTGTTTAGCTTTTGCAATAAATAGTATTCTATCAAATGGACATTCTAATGTTGTTTGTGAGTAATAAGATTATTTGTTACCAAACAGTTACAATTCTTGCAAGCTTGCAGTGGCAATCTCACCTACAGTCTTCTATTGCTTAGAGTCTTGGCCTCACTGAGCTGTCAGTTTAGTGTTACAAAGTGTATACATTTTCTGTGGGGCAGTATGGCCATAGATATTTTCTTGCCCAACTGATGTGAGCTTGCCTGAGAATGATGAATGCTATTGGAAGAAGTTTGGGAGACAAACAAGAATGTGTGTTGTATCCCTTCTTGCTGTCTAATAATTAAACAAGACATACCTTTTTACAGTTGTTGCTTTTGTCTATAAAACCTGCTGCCAGCATTGCATCTCTGTGGATTTCCATGGACTTCTTAATGATGTGATCTCATTTTTATATAGGCCATATAACATCTTGGTTCATATAAATTTTAAAAATTCATACTTAATTGATGCTGGCTTCTTAACATACCATCTGACTGTATCAGCATCATAACTATCTTCACAGAGTGTAAATATGCAAACAAGTTTGTTGTCTAGGCAGCCTGACAATAAGGTTGTGTGGTGTTGTCTATTTCGAATAGGCATATCATCACCATGTATATATATTTTTAGAATAGTTTAAAAATGAGCACAGTTGGAACAGGTCAAGTTGCCTAGGCAAAGGAGCATCCACATGCAGAAAAGGAAAAAGAAAATAAAAAAAAAAATTAATTTTACATGTGAATGGTTGCACTGTGTCACACTGAAGACCCATCTACTATCTAGTTTCTGGCAGTGACCAAGAGCAACCAGGAAAGAGCCTAAAACCAGATGTATGTAAAGCAGCACTTCCCCCTGTTTTCCCTTCCCATTTCTGGAATCTACAACTTAGACAGACTTCTTGACCCTGGGGTCAGGGTAGGGTTGAATTCCCATATTACTATCTAATAATTTTGGGTCTAACTTTTCTCTGTGAATGTATTAAATAAAATAGACTTTGAATTAAGCAGAAATCAAATGTACATTCTTCCATGTTCACTGAACCCAAGGTAACTTGGAAGACCACGTAGATAATCTTAGATTTGTTCCAGGAAATCAATGCAGCAGGTAATAGTTTATATTCCTGATATAGAGGGCTTATTTCTTAGTTGTTTGTTATGGAAATTCATGCGTGATCCTGTGAAGTATTTACTGTCTGTCAGTGTCATAGACAGGATGTGGGACTGCGTATACCATATATCTGCTTCAGTATGATAATTCCTAGCAAGAGACAGAGAGAGAGAAAAAAACTAAAGCTATTGGGAATTTCTATAAGCTTTCTTCTTTTTATTAAGTATTTATTATATGTAATATCTGAGCAGTTCAACTATCACTTCATCTCCTATTCTACATCAGAAAATAGGTTTGCCATGATCCAGTCCATTTTAATGTTGCTTATTCCTTCAGTGTAGCAAATGGTATAAGTAAAGCTGCTTTCTTGGAATTAGACTTACCAGCAACACCTTTGGTATGTGATTTTTCTGTTGCTCTGTTGTTACCTCTGTATGACACAGCTGCTTGTTTGGTTAAGTATGACAAATATTTACTATTCCTTGTATTTTTCTTCAAAATTGTACTCTGTAAAAATAGCAGAAACAGTTTGAGGTGGACTAGATAATATCTTAAAGGCCTAACCAAATACATTCAGCTTTTAACAAATAGTATCATAGAACAGCCCAGGTTGGAAGGGACCTTGAAAGATCATCTAGTCCAGGCTTTTGTGGGAAAGGGCGGCTAGATGAGATTATCTAGCACCTTGTCCAGTCACATCTTGAAAACCTCCGGCCATGGGGACTCTACTGCATCCCTGGGGAGGTTGTTCCAGTGAATGATCATTCTTACTGTAAAAAATTTCTTTCTCACATTCCTTTCTCTTTAAGACTGAGCTGAAATGGTTGTTCCAAGTATCTCAGTTTCATTATCCTTCAAACCCTGATTTAGAGCCCCCAAACAGGTTAGCATTTTTACTGCATGGCTATAATTTGTTTAGCATAGCTGATTTTAGTTTCTAATAATAAGGTAGTTCCATATAATTTGTATCTTCTCTCTCTTTAACTAACTATGCACATATAGCCAGTGATTGTTTTGGCAATGGTTTTGTATTCTAAAGATGTCTGTTGTCTTTGAACTGATTTTGACATTATTTGGATCACGGTCCGCGCCACGAGGCAGATGTGATACTCCTCTACACAACAGAATCTGTAATGCATTTGGATTAGTAGCAGTCACTGCCTGAACCATGCTTAGTGTCTGACACTAGATGTCACACTAAGAAAGTTATTGAATCTGCCTCATTAATAAGGTGAAGAGTTTTGTTTTGTTCTTAAAAGGTGCAAGAAGTTTGGTTCCCCCCCTTGTGGAACCACAGTGGAGTAGATCCACTGAAATAGTTGCTGAGATGATGAGATGGGAGAAATAGGCTCACTGTGATCTGGAGACACAATTTGTTGTGCTTATTGTCACCATTTTACCCTCTTTTTTTTAAATTGTATTTTTTAGTAAATCAGTAATTACACCATCCAGTGTTTTAGTAACGGTGTTGATAAAACTCTGCTCTAACAGTGGGTTACCATTGCAGCTAAGCCAATCTAATGGCTAGCAGCCACTGAAATGTGCAGTCCTGCACCTCTCTTTTCCTTGTGTGTTTCTTCCTCCTCCCTGTGCCAGCACTCATGCTCCTCTGAGCTCCTGGTAATCCAGTTCAGGAAGCTAAACTGACATAAGAATAACTCTAGAGGAAAGAAAAATCCATTTTCTGCCTCTTTAGTTCCTTGAACCAACTCACTGAGATAAGTGCCAGGGCAAGCAGTAGGGACAAATATGGAACAGGGGAGGAGCAGAACTACCCATACCAGCACCAAGAAGCCATTAGGTCAGCTTAGCTGTAACAGCAAACCTTTTATCCGAAGGGCTTAAGTGAGGCAAAATATATTCTCAGTCTGCACTTGAAGCTTGTGACTTCTGTTTCTAAAAACAGCTTGTATGCTTGAAATCTTGCATGTTTGGTTTTTTTTCCAACTAAGCTATCTGCTAGCTTAATGAAAGTTACTACCTTCTCCTACAAGCCTTGCCTTTCATATGCTTTATTGTTTTGTATGGATGAACTATGGCGTTCGTAAGGTGCTTAAGTTGCAGTGCTCAACAAGCTGCATTTCCAAGCAAAGTCTGTTCTCTGTCATGCTATATGCATGTGCCTCCCTCCATGTAAGTTTGGGGTTTTTTTACCTCTAGTGCCATTGGTAAGACTAACAACTGTCATACCTCTTACACAATAAAAGTAATAAAACACAGAACCCGGCTATTTACTTTACATGGTCTCTGAAATTCATACTATAAGGCTGCTTAATGCATCTCTCTCATGCATTGCTTGTAATTAATATTCTGCTCTCTTGATTATTTTGTGCTTGTGTATATTCCTCATCTAGTTCTTCACCTAGTAGAATGGCACACGGAAATATCAGACACCCATAGTTCTCCCTGGTATGCTGAAAACCTTTTCTTGTCACTCAGAATGAAACGTCACTTGTGATGTCACTGTGTTCATGAGCTTGGATATTATTACACATAGGTATGTGTAATAATCTGCATTGCATAGCTTAAATTGAAGTCTGTGTGGAACGGAAGTGCAAATGCTTCAGATAATGTGAAACTAAAGTATTGAAATGATGTGATTATCTTTTCCATTCTCTACAGGTATTATTCCCCTGTTGTGAAATAAAGAATGACATTTAAAAAAAACAAAGGCTGGATGTTATGCTTATACCTTATGTAGTCATAAAAAGGACAGTTAATCTCTTCAGAAGACCTTTTTTTTTTCACTGCATAAATTCAGCTGATTAAGGGAAAACTGTTTTGTGCCTGAAATCAAATGGTGGTCACTCAACTGTTTTGTAAATAACGCATTACAGCTGCTGCAGCAGCAAACCCGTTTTTCACAGTTCCTCCTTTTTAAGAATACTGAATGCAAGTGTCAGATGGGAGGAATTGTGGACATGCTTTTGGGGATGGCAGTCCTGTTTTCTTTCTTTATATCTTTGAACATGGACTTACGATCTAGAAGAGGTTGAGAACCAATAATCTGTTGTGTCAGCCTTTATGCCTATTGCTATTAAAACCTTTTACCATTGCAATAAGGAGATCTGAAACTAGTCTCATTTACTAGCTTAATTGGAGTTATTCTTGATTTACAGACTGGATAGCATAGGTATTATCAGAATCTAGCCTGTGTTTTTGTTTTAACTACAAGGAAGAGAATTGTTCTAAAGCCTTGAAGGAAATGGAGTGCCAGTAGGATAACCTCAAAGTGAGCACAATGGGGTCCCTCTGTTTTGGTGTACAAAACCAGAGCACAGCTGGCTTTTCCACATACCTATACTTCATACAGTGGAGTGATTCCCACCCCAGCCATCTTCAGGTTCCTCAGTTTCTCAGTCAGTGGCTTCATCTTTAGCTTGAACCAGATGAAGCTTCATTCATCTTACTAAACTGAATTTTGATTGGTTGCTCATCAGAAACATCCCCATGCTGCAACACAGGTGACAAAGTCTGTGTGGTAGCCAGGGACAAAATCTCAAACTCATCCTCCCTATCTGTACTGCTGAAGCAGGGAGTCCAGTTGCTTGGGAGTACTAGATTGACAAGGGACAGCGATTCCTACAGAGAATGGTTTAGATTTCAGGCGTGCTGAACTGCCCTCCGGAGGTGTCTGTCTGCCTCTTTCAGCTCTGCAGGGAATCTAAAGCTACTAAGCTGGGAGGTGGAAGATAAGAGTGCCTAAAGTGAAGTGGGATGTTTCTGACTAAAGCATTTGTGAGCGCTATGATCTGGCCTTGGGCAGATCAGGCAAATTCAAAGGCAGGCCACATTTTTAGGCACCGCTTGCAAAACCTTCCGTTTCAAATGAAAGATTCCAGCTAGCAAGATGAACAACAATATTCTGCTGAAATCGCCAGACAGTAGAAGGAGAAGAAATCATGTAGGCAAGAAAAACAAAAGCAACAACACAGGGGAAAAAAAGCATGCTTTCTTCAAAAAGTGAGCAGTTAACAATACCCATCGCATAGCTCTTCCGTCTGTGCTGTTACAGATGAGTAAATGGAGACATCAGAGGTGTTCCTGAGTTTAACAGTATCAGCTCAGTTGCATTATCACACCCAGCGTAACAAAACCAGTGCACCTTTATCTCTAAAACGTAGGCTCATCTCCCATAACCTCTTTTATTTCTGTGCCTTTTGAAATTACAAATAATCATTTTCATTTCCAAAGCAACATGTGCTTCTGCCGTGTTTGTGCATGTGTGTGTATCTAACAGTGCTGACTTGCTTCAGTTGTGGTCTTCTTATCTCATCTGGTTTTGTTGTTGTAGTCAAACATACATGCCATACAGCTTAGTTCAGCAAAACCACTCCTAGCTGACCTGAAATATTTTCTTATCATTCTAGTGCATGTAACCACATCCCTGAAAATGCTGCCTTTTATAAGTTTGTAAATATCAGTACAGGAACTGTGTGCCTCCTTTTCTTGGAAGTATAAGCTTGTCTGCAAAACTGTGAGAACCAAAGTACAGAATATAAAAAAATATTAAAAATGTTCAGATACAGAAAAAAATGGAAAATTAATCTGAAAATCCATAACACTTTTGCGCACCGTTAAAGGGAAATTTTTGCTTAATGTTCGTAGTTAATTTTTATATAATTACAGGACAATAATATTCTGTTAGCAAGTCAAGTCCTTAAGAAAAATTAAGTCAATGGAAAGAGTAGAACTCTTCTGCTCATTTAAAAAGTTTTGAGGAGGAGGACTGGAAAGGAATGTGACGTGGACTATCTATTACATTAGTTTAAAAGAACAATTAATAGTTATTTAAGTGAGTCCCAGGAATTTGGAGAGTAAATAAATGACTCCAGAATCTATTCATGCTAATATTTTCATTGAACCAATTAAAATATGCAGGAGATTAGACAAAGTAGTACGCCGCTCTCCAGTATCTGCATTGGAACAGATTTTGCGAAAGGCAAGAAGTCATCCAGCAATGACTTAAATCACGGTGGTGCGTAACCTAGTATGTCATGTACAGTTGGATGTACTGCTACATTTTGTAAGACATGAGATAAAATAGACAAAGGTCATATTTTCTTTAGACAGGTAAAAGCATTTACCTGCCTAGTCTCTCTGTTTCAGTGTAAAACATCGGGATACCATGCAGCTTATGCTGTCATATAGAAAATCACTTGTTTGTGCTCATCTGTTCCTTAGGGGACATCTGTTCTTTGTGTTTACCTCCAGATACTCCCGTTTTCTGGTATATAATCTTTCAGTAGTGCTGCTTCATATATGTTTTCTAGAGTGTATTTATTACTGAATTCATAGAGCACCTGATGTGCAACCCATCTGGAAATCATAGAATCATAAATCTAAGCTTTCCTTCTTCCTACTCCATTTCAAATGGTTTTGCTGCATCTTTCTGTAATCAGATGTTCAAAAGCATATTTGTATGACTACACACACACACATATATGTATATGTATATTCAGAACACTGCAGAGCACTGGCAGATGATAGGCTATTTTGCTATAGTTAATATAACTCAGAAAAGATGCTTTGAACTTTTCTAATAGAAAGTGCACACAACTGTGGGAAAGTATGGGCAATATTTAATGAATCATTATGCTTGACTTCATGCCTTAGATGTCTAGGTATCTGCCTGAGCATCTGTATTAATGGCTTTTCTGAAATCATTTATCTATTTACAGTTCAGTTTAAGGTAACAAAGCAAAGAAGTATGAAATTGTCATTAATACTTCTCATAAGTAGTTAGGCAGATACTTAAAGCACTCTGTATTGTCCTACTGCTAGAAGTGATCAGCGTTGTGTGAGATGCAGTAATGGTGTACTGTACAAGAAAAAAATGAAATAAGGTCACTGAAGCCATTTCATTTTGTGTTGGAAAGAAATATTGCTCGCCTGGTTGGTTGTTTACTTACTGTGTCTCAGCTGCAGAAACTGCCAGCTAAGATGTGCTAGCTGGATCATTTGTAATGAGAGAAGCATATCATGAACATACTTGTGGATATATCCAGAAGCAGAATAGGCAGACAATTTGAGGGTAGTCTTTTTTAAGGGCAGCATTTTTCAACTACAGCTGGTGGAGATTAGGAAGCTACTGCCTCCTTTTGCTGACTACCAGGCAATCCCACCCTATCCTATAGCGGGATATTGCCAGTCCATGTGATCTGCTAGTGTAAATAACTCTGTGTAGAAAAGCAGTAAAGCAATCCCATTCTGTCAAATTACTCGGATAAAAACACTAATAACATATATTCTTTACATTGAACTCGACCATTTTAATAGAACAGAGAGTTAGGGAGTCACTACGTATGTGTCAGGTGATCTCTGTAGGAGAGAGCTACCACTGGAACAATAATTCTGTGTCATCTGACACCAACAGACTTTACAAAGTATATTTTAACAGCAGCTTTGAGGAGAGACACTTTAGAATTTGACTTCAAATGAGCACCTGAGGAGCTTAAATCCTGAAGTAACTTTGAGGACCTGGCTCAGTATTCCTAAAATACTTACTTAACATAGCACCTATGCAGCACACTGAAGAACAGATTCCTTACCTCAGCCCTGCAGTCACCCACAGTCCATTAATTGTGGGTTAATTGTTCTAGACTTCTGAAAACCAGATGAGGCCAAACCCTACGGCATTAGGAGGACCATCAATTTCTGTTTAAACTGATTGTAATAGAGTATTTAGTATTTTGAAAAGCAGGGAACTAAACTTACGTGTGCCACTGAAACACGTTTTACATTTCAGATCCAGAGTCATTTGTATTATATTTCAGCTTAATCATTTCTAGTCAGTTAATATACTGGCTATAGTAGAACAAGTGAATTATTAACCTAGAAAAAAATCAAGCAATTGAGGTAAGTTTAATAGTTATTCTGATTGTCATCATTCATAGAGTGTAAGAATACTATGCACTGTTAGTAATAAGTTTTCAAATCATATAATCTATATGCTTCTACTGCAGGTCATGGGATAACAGCAGTAAAGGAGAAAGCAGGAACTACCCTAGGAATTCATAACGCAAGTTCAGCATCTTCAGAAACAGCAGAGCCTCCTGCAGCTGAAACACCAATTATACGTAAGTTCAAGTTCACTGAAATTGGACAAAACTCTTTGACACTGCCAAATTAGTCCAATTTACAAAATTTTAAGATTTTGATCACAGAGTCCAGTTTACTGTAATTTGTGACTTGAAAGTATGCTGTAGCTTGCTTTTTTTCTTTTGTTAGAAGCAGAAGATTCTCTGGACCAAAGCTGTTCTGAGAATATTCCTTCTTCTCCTTCATCTGGATCTCGTGGCATGTTGTCAGCTATCACTAATGCTGTACAGAACACAGTGAGTAATTTTAGCTGGCCTCTCTGCTCTTATTATTCTTCATAATTTTCAGGCGTAACTTCACTATAGGTCACATTTAACAGGAAGAGTTTGTTAAGTTGTAGGTCTTTGTAAAAACAGTTCTATTGTAAGTCTGTTTAGAGTCTCTTCCATGGCAAAATAACTGTATCAAATTAAAAAAAAAATAAAGCCAAACACAACTAATTCAGTTGCTACTTTGGCACCAGTTTCAGTGAAAAATATGGTCTTCTCCTAAACTACATTGAATTCTGCAAATTCTTGGGAAATCTTTTTTATAGTTGTGGTACCATCATCTAATCTTTTTTTACAGTTAAGTCCTTCCAGAGAAAGTATGATAAGATTTGTTATCATTTTTGAAGGCAGATAAAATAAGAAAATGCTCCATTTGCTTATTTTAAGGCTTTTACTAAACTATATTGTTAGTCCCTGGCCCTTGCCTTCACCTCTCTGTCTAGTCTCTCATTTCATATTGGCCTTCTCAGAAGGTGGTCTGATTGCAGACTCGGTGAGGCAAAATCTTTTGTCCACGGTTCTTTCCTATTACACTCTCCATATATTTGTTTTGTGTTGCACTTCATCCTTTTCTGTTTTTCTGTGTTTCAGCTTTTGCAAAATACTGTTTCCAAATAAATGTTTGTGTCATCTTCTTCCCCAACATTTTTTACAGACTGTTACCATAGCAAATGTTTTCCTCTGAGCTTTTCAGTACGGTGTTTCCCGTGAAATGATAAGAGACTTTAAGCATTGGCTAAAAAAGCATAGGAGACTAACTCCCCATTGAGCATGTTTTACGAAGTGGCAATTCTTCTTTAGTGCATACCCAGTTCACTCTGAGTGCCTCATCACTCTAGTATCAAAGATTTTGGGAGCAGAGGGAGATTCCTATAGACTATTCCTAAGACTGTTGCTACAGAATCTGGAGCATCGTAGGGCTTGTGAGAGCTGGACACCAGTAAGATTACCTGAGCATTGTATAAGATTTTCAGATAAGAGAAATGTGCTCTTATGCAAACCTAGAGAGGCTACTATACCACAGTGATGAATGTCACCAAACAAATAGAATAACTTAAGGTCTCAGTAAGTTGCCTGTAATGCCATTTGAGACTTTGGTAGGGTTTTCCACTATATATCAGGTTACATCAGCATGTGAGTATCTGACAGATGCATAATCCAGATTGAGATGGAAATCTTTAGCCAGTGAAAATTCCTCTTCAGTGTACATGAAAAATTGTGAGTGAGGGCTAATGCGAATACAAATCCACAGGAAAAACAACCGTATTTGGATACAGTTCCAGAGTCATCACAAGCGTCAAAATTTTAGAAATCAGTTAGGTAAGGCAGGGTCATCCATTTCATGATGGACTTTGGCTCCATATTATTCATATCTAAAATATGTTCCCATGGACTAGATGCCACTTCGGATGAAATTAAAGTGGTATTATTCATAATTTTTTTATTGGCAACAGGTGTTACATTTTCTCCAGTGTGAGTCTTTTTGATTAACTAGAAATATTTGTATAGTTCATTCTTTTCTTTTTGAAAATGTATTCATAACAAAGTAACATAATTTTATAAATGTATCAATCCTATTGTTAGTTAAGGCATAGAAAATCTAGGGACCTGAATATTCAAAGATGGTGCCGGCAAAAGCAATACTCTTTACAGTTCATATTAGCATAAAGTGTAAAGAAAATAACAACATTGCATTACTTTATACAGGGGAAAAGTGTGTTATCTGGAGGCTTAGACGCTTTGGAATTTATTGGGAAGACAACCATGAATGTCCTTGCAGAAAGCGATCCTGGATTTAAGAGAACCAAAACACTGATGGCAAGAACAGTTTCTCTGTCTCAGGTTGGATTTATTTAAACACAGTTCTGTCAATGCGGTTTCAGATTCTTTTTCCAGAATTTCAGATGCCTCAGGGCGAGGCTTTATTTATTGTAGTAGATATTGGCTAGGCTTATGGAAATAAATATTGTGCTTTATAGTTGCTCCACCTTCTTTTTCTTCACAGAACCACAACAGATAATGTAAAATCATCTTTTCTGCATAATCACATGTACAATAGCTGATTTTAATAAGGTAGTATATGTGGTGATAAATCATTACACTCTGGAGACAGAATCAAATTGTTGGTATTTTTCTAACAGCTGTAGATAGGTCTCTTCCAGCATAGGGGGTTTGAAAGGGCCAGTCGAATCTGGCGAGTCAACAAATGGTTACGGGACTGGTGCCACAGCCAGGGGTTTGGCTGCTTAGACCATGAGACTCGCTTTGAGAAACCTGGTCTACTGGGGGCTGACGGGGTCCATCTGTCAGAGAAGGGGAAGAGCATCTTCAGTCATAGGCTTGCCA